AGGAATTTCTCAGACGTCGATGAAGACGAATTTGATGATTGTGATGATGTCAAGAAGAAAAAACGAAAGGAAGTAGATGCTGGCAAAGATTCTAAATCCACTTCAGCTGCACGTCTACCCGGCCGCACTGAGAAGGCAATCAAGCAAACGACGGCGGCTAAGGGTTCACCGAATCCTAGTAAAAACTCGAATTCAACAGAAAAAGAGCAGTCTGACTTAACAAAAACTGGATTCGCAAAACAATTTGAGGGCGATACTGAGGATGAGGAATTCAAAATGTCAGACTCTTTATATAGTGGCGGTTTGAAAGTACCACCTTTGAAAATTGTCATTCCACAACAGAACTGTTCTATAGATACAGATGGAAATGTATCGCGCACGGGAAAAATTAATACATCTCGCAATGCTGCCCTACCCTATGTAGTGAGTTCAAACACAAATGATTCCAGCGAACGTGAAGCCCAATGCAGCAGTCCAAATGAGAGTCCCATTAAAATTAACAACATGTGCACTGTTATGGATGAAAAGAATATGAAATTGTTAAATGAGGAAAAAAATCTACATCGTGTGCTTCGCAGCTCACATCGGAGTGGCATTACCAGCGCTGAGCGTAGTTCCAATAATTCTTCACCACAAATGCAGAGCAGCTCACCATCGCCAGCATCATCGAATGCTAACGAAGGTAATACAGAAAACAAGCTTTCGTTTACAAACGTCAGCGCAAGTCCGATACAACAGAACCAAACATATGAAAATGAGAATATCGTTAATTTGCCAAGTCCCTCCACGTCATCGACCTCTTCATCGAAGGATGTACATTCGCATAGCGTCGAATTGCATCCACGTAAGCGTAAAATACGCTCAAAACACGATGATAATCACAATAACAAAAATAATGGCAATCATAATTCAAATACAGAAGCATCTTCGACCATTTCAGAAACACATTCACATGATTTTCCATTTACAAATTGTTTCCAAATGTATCTTAATATACGTAGGCAGATTGAGAAAAAGTGGCGAAACATTTATCCCATTAAACCGAGACCACCGCAAGGTTATAATGAATATTTACTAAACAAGAAAACCTATCTACTTGCGAGTAACGAGAAGAAGGTTGAAACTGTAACGCCAGGTACGATACCGGCAAAAATGCAAGAAATTTTTAGTATCCAAGAACAAGAGCGCAATGAATTGCTACAGCGTCATATAGTAGAACGCGAAAAATTGTGCTTGAATGTTGAACAGGAAATGATACGAGTTCACTCGAAGGCTGCGCGTAATATTTCATGTCAACCCGTACCATATTCAGTATGCACGCTACTTAAAGATCAAGAAGTCTATAATATACCGACATCTGAGCAGGAAGAAAAGGATAAAAATGCGCGATATCGTTTCAATGGGCGGCAACTATTAAGCTGGTTGCAGGATGTCGACGATAAATGGGATAAAATAAAGGTATGCGCTTGCTTAACCCGATCATGTGTATTTTTTATGAAGTGTAATATATTTTTAGGAAGCTATGGTTTTGCGCCACCATAATGAAGCTGAAAGCCTGCATGCCGTACAGATGATGAATTGGGATATCGAACAGAAGAAACATAAGTTATGGGATTACAAATGTGAAACTGCAATTGATAAGAATCATGTACCTATAGTACATGTCAGCGATGACTTTGATCTTTTACCAGCATAAATTTTATCAATAAAATGATATGAAAACATAAATATATACATATATGCATTTTTGTATTATGTTGAAAAGTTTAAGAATGCCTTTGTATTAGAGCCGATTGGCAAAATTTTTGTTATTGCCTAAAACGAACAAGCGATCTAGGTGCCAAATAAAAATACACCGGATCGGCACATATGTATGTACATATGTATATCGTTTTATAGAGAATGACTGGTTGCCACTTATAGGACATATGTACATATATTGAGGTTGAATACGAGAAATTCATATTTCTGTTGAATTATGTATGTATAAATTCCTTTAACACTTCAGAAACGATCGTTGGCTATTGATTTTTAATCTACTACATACTATTACATACATATTCTTGTTTAACTTAAAATCCTCAAAAATTTATCACATTTAATCTTCATTCATCATTTTAATAAAAAGTTCAGCTAATTTTTCTGCTTCATCGAGCATTTGATCTCGTTCCATGCCATTCGATATACGTTTAAAGTTTTGAATGCTCGATAGCAAATTTTCGAAGCTTTCCAACTGCTCTTCCATATCGCCTTCTTGCCCATCTGTGTTGCCACCTTCCCAAGTTTTTTTACGAATTACAAATTACTAAAGGAAGTTATATGTATTATTAGAGAAATCGCTTACCCGGTACTTTAACATTAGACCAAATATTATTTTTTAATGCCTCGACGATTTCTTCATATCCTCCGGCTTCTTCAGCAGCCTCATCATTGCTGAGCTCTATTACATCAAACTGGAATTTACAGCATTCTTTTACGCTTTCATAAGTCAGCCCTTGTTTTGCATCATCAAAGAGTTTGCTAGTCAACAATAAGCCCAATTCGATGTCATTATTGGTTACAAGTTTGCAAAGGTCAGGCAGTTTTTGCTTAAATGATTTCTAAAAATATAGGAATTAAATGAGTAATTTGTTAACCGCAACTGGTAGTATAGAGATTTACATTGTCCGGATCGAAGTAGAACATTAGCATCTCTGTAGCCTTCAAAACATCTTCGGGTAGTTCACAGATATTGCCTTCATAGGGCAACAAAGCGATGGTATTTTCATAATACTTGGTTTTAAGATCACATAAATAAGTTAAATATGTGGATGAACCAATAGTAATAGACTCGGTGTTTTCTGTGGGATTTCCAATCGTGGTAAGGATACCTATAATAGTAAAAAGCTAATTATAAGTCACCTATTTTCATCGACAGTCGGGTCGACGTAACCGGAACGACCCGGATTTACATTTCCCCAAGGACTGTCCCTATAGCAACATGGGGAATTTGTATGCTGTTACAACAACAACAACAACATCGAATATTTTATGTATAAATGCTGGTGGAGCAGCTTGGCACCAAGTATTGGGGCGGATATTTGGGACTATGATGGGTAGTAGTGCACTTTACGGGAACCAGGTCAAAATGGGCGGAACAAATCGAGTGGTATCAAACGACGTGTTTTAACGGTGGGGGAGGGGGGGGGGAGAAATTAAGATGTTTAATTAATTTAAGAGTTATTCGCAAAAAACACTTGCACTTTGCACTTTTCCCGGGTTGGCTTTCCTTTATGGCCGTTCGTTAAAGGGGCGGTGGGCGAAAGGTAAGTGGGCGTGGTACCTCTAACCCAACTTTTTGGAGAGGGAATGAACCGCCATTGACAAAAATGACCACCTAGGTCCCCTATGGTTCCCGAGGGACCCCTTAGAAAAATTGCCAAAAATCACAATTTTCATTTGCGTTTATTCGCTTTAAAAATGTTAAATATTCATTTGCACAATACATTTTTATATACAAGACATTTTTATAAAACACCCAGTAACCAAAGTAGACATCACTGGGGAGGCAGCCCCAGGTTTACCACACAGAAAGGGAATTCTAGTTACCTCATCCTTTCCCCAAGGTTACATCAGTGAGGCGGTAGCCCCAGTTAGGTCACACAGAAAGGAGAATTCTACGTAGTAAGGGTTATAATCGCCTACGCAAAAAGGAGTTGGACGCCTGGTTCCGCTGAAGTGCACTTTTACCCTATGATGAATCGACCTTTGATGGGATCGATCGTTTAACTTTGAACCAATTATTGTGAAAAAGCGGCATATTTGATCACGTTTACTTTACATACATACCTTTGATTATATTTTGTGGCTTCTCTTCTCCGCTAGACGTCAACACAACAATTGGTTTCATTATAAATAATATGCGACAAACACTTTATTTTAATACGCCCACAAATGTTTACGTTCAACAAGCTGGCTAAAAAATTAATTACTTGCTGGGTACAGCATGGCTCAGAAGAAAATATGGGATCAGTGGAACAGTAACACTCTGTCCACTTATATACTACTTTTAAACGTAAGCTATTTGCAAATAAAAATTATTTGCAAATACCTAACTCACTGTTTATTCGATGGTGAAAAATTCTTTTTTAATATCGCCTGACTATAAATAGGCAATAATATGACCATCGAAATAGAAAATAAAGTTAAAAATGGCAACGTCTTGATTATAAAAAGGCAATAAGATGACCATCGAAAAAGAAAATAAACCTAAGAATGGCGGCGTCCTGCGCTTATTTGCAAATAGTACAATTGTGCAATACTTATTTTCGTGATTTAGTTATTTGCAAATAAAAAATTAACTCAGCGTTTATACGGCAAATTTTACCGTTTTGAAAATTGTTATTTGCAAATAATACGTGCGTTAAAGTAATAGAATATATAATTAGAGTATTTATTAAATAAATTTTTGCAGTAAAATTTAGTAATTAAAAACAATTCCCCACAAGATTTGTTAACTATTTAATCTCTTTTTGTTTATTTAAATTGTAGTAAACAGCCCCAAAAATCCATCCAAAACTTTTTATTTGCAAACAATTTACGTGCTATCTTTTGGAGCACCCTGTACTGTACTGAATCCATTTAATAATTTCGTACATTACATATCCCTGCTATTTGACAATCGGCGGCTATTTTCTACGTGTCAATGGTATACGTGTAGTTAGTTAAATTAATTTCTTTGCTATTTACAAAAAACAAATAAATATGCATACCGTACTAACGCGGGGCAATGCAACAGTTGCTTACTCGTTAAGCGTATTGGCCTGCTTAACGTTTTGCTGCTTTCTTTCAACTGTATTCCTAGATAGCAGGACAACTGCACACGTAAACACCGTAAAAGTGTTGGTGTAAGTACTATGTATACCTGCATATTTGAAGGCAGGACCAATTTTTGTATACCTATTCATTATTCCAAAATTTATCATTGTGTATCAGTAAAAACGTGCCCGACTACGGCGCCTCGCGTGAGAAACATGACTTGGGCTTTCTCACCTTCGATTTGGAAACGAACCTCACCAGCCTTTTCAATTGGAATGTAAAACAATTGTTCCTTTACTTGACCGCGGAATATAAGACACAGGACAATGTACTAAATCAAGTTGTGCTGTGGGATAAGATAATTTTGCGTGGCGAAAATTCGGCCCTTGATTTTAAGAATATGAATACTAAATATTACTTCTGGGATGATGGCAATGGATTGAAGTGAGTTATTTGCTTAGCAATTTTATTGTACATACATATTTTTTAATTTCTTTTGATTCCACAGGAACAATAAAAATGTTTCATTATATTTATCATGGAATATTATACCGAATGCCGGCTTGTTGCCTACTATCAAATCACTTGGCTCACACATCTTCAAATTTCCGGCTGAGTATTCAGTAGCTCCAGTGTAGGTTATGCCTACAATCATGTTTTGAACTTAATTTTCAATAAGTAAATTAAACACAAATTAGAATTATGTATATGAAAACAATATAATAATTTCGATCCTCAATAAATAAGAGTTAATAGTAATGCGTTTTTTCCTCGTAAGCACAAGAAAGCAGGAAGGTTTTGGAATAAAGCTCTACGGCTACAAAATCATTGAGTTGGTCAATTTCTGATGATTGCAGTGTTAAGGACGCCGGGTTCTAATGAATGTATTGCATTGATTTCTGAAAGTCCTCATAAAGATTAAAGTCCAATAATGGGCCTTGTTCACAAATGGTTAGCTTTTAAAACAAATCTTCATAAGCCGCGCTTAAATCATTTCACGGTGGGTCGAAAGTTGCCTGAGCGACACGAATTCCTGTCCCATCAGCGGCATTTCTCCTCTCTTCCCATCAGACGGGCGATGCTTAAAAAAATATATATTTTGCTTTATAGGTATTTTTCAAATTTTCAATACCCGCAAGCACGAGCTGGTAATCCCCCTAATCGTTGATAACTTCGATTCCCCATTCAATCGCAATACTTCAAAAGTTCCAGCACATTTTGGTTTTATCTAAAATATTTTTTTATTTACGGGCTGTCCTTTGGTAGTCTGCTAAATAAACTTAGGTAGAAAAAACTTATACATAAGTAAATTTTTAAACATTAAGAGTTATTTGTTGTTTTTTTTTTGTTCTTGTTGTGGTTGGGTTCGCGAAGTTTTACACAATAAATGAATATGATTTCTATGCATTACAAATACTTTTTTTGTGCTTAGATATACATATATATGTATTATATATATTTATATGTTTTACTTTAAATGTTTATGACTAATCAGTATGTGTAAGTGTGTGATGTATACTTATAAATTATTCACTTTTTAATAGCTTAATTATTAACACTCAGAAGACGCAGTTTCTGTCGACAGTTTGTGCAAGTCAGCGTAGTTGGCTATGGCACGATGTAGGAACTCGTATTGTGCCTGCAAATATTAACGAAAAATTTACATAAATTATTACAGCGTTAATAGCTTGGCAATTTTTTACTTTTACACTTACAAATGAATTTAATAGCCTTGGCCGCTGAGATCGTATCTTTCTAGCCGTTGAACAAATATCAATGCTCTTTTCGGTTCTCAACTGCTGCACCAATATGCACATGGTCACAAATATTGAGCTCCTATCGGTGCCCAAACTACAAATAATACAACACATAGGTATTTTTTCTTTCATTGAAAAAAAAAAAAAAACGTTATTTATGCGCCTAAATTACCTGCAATGCACAGTCAGGGGTGATTTACAACCAATACTTTTATCTCTGTTATGATGATTTAACGCCTGATCGACGAGTTCTATAATACCACGGCAAACTTCTGGCACCTCACCATCGACAGTCGGCCAGCCGTTATATTGAAATTGTGTCACTTTTATTGTATCATCAATTTTACAATTTGTTACGTTGAATTCGCGACGCGTATAGTATGGACAGCTTTCACTTTGCATATATTTTACAAGTATATGATCGTATTGAATCTCATCATCTGCCCAATAGCGTGGACATTTTCTGGGTCCATCACCAATCTGTAAAAGCGCCATGATGCAAAATTGTTTTGAATTATTTACCCATGTACGTATATACTTGTTTCTCGCTACCCTAGAGTGAAAAGTACCTTTTGTGAAACCTTATATTTTGATGTAGGCAGCAAGATTAAAAATGCTTCGTCAAAAGGATTAAGGTACATGTTTTATTTTTTTTGCCAATTAATATCAATGAAAGGCAAGTCCAAAAGAGAAACAGATAATTTGATAAGGCCAAAATAGTACGAAATTTTTTTATTAACATCGAATACATCTGATTCGTATAGAGTTTTGATTTACTTTACACGAGAAAAATGTTGCATTCAATGTCTTCCATAATATATGAAGAAAATGCTATAAGAAGTACTTTTCCTATTCTGTAGAATTTTTTAAAATGGACTTAGCAACTTTTCACTATAAGCTAGCGAGAATTGATCGAAGGATAATAAAATTTGCTTACCTCGGATATCATCACAAGTGTGGTTATACTTTGTTCAGATATCATGCGCCAAAAATCACCAATTGTATTTTCCAAGGGATCCTGTGTAATTATGAATGCTTCTGAATTATCATAACCCTCGATAAACGAGGCGTTTATGTAGGTGGAGTTCTCTTTCATCGGTATGGGTGTTAGTATAACCTGAAATTGAGGATATACATGCTTTTATTTTATATTTTAAAATCAAACGAATAAACGTTATCGGTATATTCCTCGATATTATGTATATCTCTATCGATGTCGCTTCGCTGCTACTTTAGGGTATTCGTTCTATTCAATTTAACATAGTTCTGTAGCTTTAAGATAGCATAAAACTGTTCGTTTACAGCTGTTAATACTAGCGTAAAACTCTATTTTACACACTAATTTTTTTTTAGCTTAAAATGTAAATATGCATACATACATAAAAATACTTACTCGATTGCGGTCGTAAGGTATGACTGATTCGTTACGATTCTTCGACATATTTTCCTCATTGCTGCCCACGGCCGAAGATTTTGCCGCTTCATCAGTTATGGCAAGAAGTTTCTATAAAAAAAAAATAATATTAATATAAACAAAAGATGCAAATAGAAACCAAAAACAGTGCTTAGCTCAAACTTAGCTAACCTCAAATTCTATTTCTAATTTGCTTTTATC